ACTTTTATAATTGGCCATTTTTTCCTGAATTCTAATTTTAGTTGATTAACCTCCTGAATTTTTTTAATTGGGCAGTTTCCCTGTTAGATTTTAGAAATTTTCATCCATTTTATAATTGGTGAATATTAATTTTTTATTTTGATGGCTTGAACTTTAGAAAAGTCTTTGAAATTGAAATTGAGACATTAAAGAGATAATATTATCTAATAACAACAATAATTTACCCTAATTATATAATTAATGGGTGATGAGTCGCTTTGAAAGATCTATTAAGAGATTTGAAATCAACAAAGATCTGTTAACATGTTGACGGTGGAGATTTGATCAAATTAACGTACTAGCTTTCGTCAAATGAATCAAATTTCCTTTCCACTGCTTTGATTTTTGACAAATATCACCACCGTTAATAATGTTTATATTGCCACTAGTTGGGGGTAAGCATTATTGTATCAGTGTCAATGCATGTGTCATATGTCATTGTCTGCAAAGTTAGGCCAATCGAGAAGGAGCTGTTGACATTATGAGAATGTGAGATCTCCAAACTTAACAGTTTTGGGGTATTTTAATCCATGGTATCGCTATCCTAATGCTATTGGGAGAGGGTATGGCGTATGGGTTTGGTTTATATCGTTGTCGAATGAGCGATATTTATTCACCAACTGCAGCTCCAAGTTACATTATCAATGATGGGACATATATAGGGCTTCAAATTGCGGACTTCTTATCCGGCATCTCACTATGTCAACTTCGTAGGTTGACATTGCGTGCAACTTTGCTGCATTTATATACTTTACAATGGTATTTGTTCATCCAAACTACCTAGAAACAACAGGCTACTGAACCAGCTGCAAAGAAGCTTCAAAGTTGATGCAAATTATGGAAGCAATGCGCAGTTATCAGTTTGGGCATATAATTGATGGATGCCATGAGTTCTGGATGGAACACTTTTGTTAGGAATACTTGTCAAGGAAACAATTCTGTTAAACAAGCGTCCTAAATATTTATTAGAACACAACTTTTTAATATTTATTAAAATTAAAAACTTCTTTGAAAAGTACTTGAAAGTGCTTGACGAAGAAGCCAATAAAAACTGCTTTGGTAAATCTAGAAGCATTATTAAGTCTTTCGGCCAAACGATGTCATAATTACTTATGATTATCTCAAAGTGTGTTGAGTCATTTTTCTGAAATATATGCAATATTTCTACTCTAAACTGCACTAAGGGAAGGAAAAGAGTTTGAATCTTGAACCCGGTGGGTTAAAGAGAAAAACCTTAACCATCATGATAATCTACCACTTGTGCGTGCTTTTGAGTTACTTTAAAGAACTTACCTTAAAAAAGAAATCATTATCATGTATGGATAAAAACTTTTGGTCCACGTCTTCCTCACCACAAGTTGTACATAATCGGTGCCAAGAAAACATTACTCCTGGTCCTAGTGATAATGGTAATTAATGATTGCACTATCACTCAAAGACAGAGTTACAAAATTTCCCCCTTCTCTTTCTTGATACAAAGATATGAGTAGAGGTGCAAGGTGCAAGGTGGAGTGGTGTTTCCGATTTCAAAAATAAAATTTTTCGAATTCAAAAATTCTGAAATCGAAATTTTTTGAAAGTTTATGATGCATTTAGGGATTCCGAATTTCCTATCCGAATTTTTCTGAAGTGTTCCGAACTTATTTTGACAAAAGAAGTTTTGAAATATTCCCATTTTTTAAAGTTATTTACTCAAATTATGTATTTTGTAATCAATTTTATATTATATTATTTGTGTTGGATACTTTTATTCATTGTTTTTATATTAGAAATACACTTATATATTAAAAAGGATAAGCATACTAGTGTACCAAAAAATTAATTAAATTTATACATAACCATAAAAAGAATAATAAATTGTATGTACGAAAAAGTTCATGAATATCCAAAACATATAATTTAAATGAATTTCCAACTTATGTTCCAAATTTTCGAGATTACTCTGATTCCGAAAATTTCAAATTTGAAAATTGTGATCCAATCAGATCCAATTCCGAAATTTTGAAATGGAAATTGGAAAAGTTTTTTATGATTTGATCCGTTTGAAAATCACCCCTAGATGTGAGCTTCAGTCCATATTTAAGTGTCAAACTTGTTACTTTGGGAGTCGAGGTTGAGATGTCTAACTTAAAAATAAACAAAATATGACTAGACTGTAGTACTAGAGACATCTTCCATTTTCATTTGGCATCAACTTTTACTAAAAGAATATGTGTGCTACAAATTGGGCTAAGTTCTCAAGACATGGGCTTCAAGTGGCATCCATAACTAATTGGGCCACTACACTATGACCCATGGGTTGGACCAAATCACCAATAGCCCAATCATACCAGCCTAAAGTCCATAAGCCCGCTCTATATATAGAACCCGCAAAACCCACAGCCACTCATAGTTTAGGGTTTCATTTTCCCGTCAAGCTAAAGAGAAAGCCGCCGTTGCAGAGCACGCACACCCGCAGCAGCAATGGGTACTTCCACCATCTCTCTGCGATTTCGTTTCCCCCAAAACGTTATCTTTTTTGCTGATGATTTTGTTCTTGTTGTTTGTAAAATGTGACAGCGAGAATCAAGGTACATGAGCTGAGGCACAAGACAAAGCCTGACCTTTTGGCCCAGCTCAAGGATCTCAAGGCGGAGCTCGCCCTCCTCCGCGTCGCCAAGGTCACCGGCGGAGCGCCCAACAAGCTCTCCAAGATGTAACAATCAAAACCCAATTTTTTATTTTTCTGAATTTTGTTCTGAAATCTCGGAAAACGAATAGAAATTTGATTTTTTGTATTGAAATTTTGGTTTTTGCAGCAAAGTTGTGAGGCTGTCGATTGCCCAGGTGTTGACGGTGATGTCACAGAAGCAGAAGGCTGCTCTCAGAGAAGTGTACAAGAAGAAGAAGCTGTTGCCTCTTGATCTCCGTCCCAAGAAGACCAGGGCCATCCGCCGGAGGCTCACCAAGCACCAGGTACTAAAGTTTTTACGATTTCGATTGCTTTTGTTTATAGCTGTGGACCGAAATTGAAATGATGAACTATTCTGTAATGGCATTTGATTCAACTGTTTGTTATCGCTTAGCTAAATTAATAGCATACGAAACACTAAACTCGCATAGATTGTGGACAATGTGTTGTATGTTTATATTCAGTTGATCGGCATTGTGCTTTTGTGAGTTTGATGGAAAGCTAGATTGCCTAATCCGTAGTTTTTTTCAGTTGGTTTGTATTGGAGTGTGATTTTGTTATGCATTTGTATTGCGCAGGCATCTTTGAAGACCGAGAGGGAGAAGAAGAAAGAGATGTACTATCCTTTGAGGAAGTATGCCATTAAGGCTTAGAGGATCGAATTGATTACGTTAGTTCGTCTTGTTACCTTTCTGTATTAGAATATTTTGTTCACAAGTTTTGGCTTTGAATTTATTTATGACATTAGACCTGAGGTTTTGGTCTTTAATTGTACTCCTCTAGGTTTGGGTAGGCATGCCTCACCCAAATTGACTTAAATTTTCTTCGGGTGCAATGATAGTTAAGATTCTGTTGATGTTTAGTTCTCTGCTTCTTGAATCCCTGAAGCATTTGGCCGTTTTTTATTAGTGCATTACTACATTTAATGGGTGTGTGTAGTCTTTTCGGAAACATTAAGTTGATTGCTTTGTTTTCGAATGCTTCGCACGACATCATGGTGTGTCTATTGGATTTGTCTTGTGCTCGTTGATTGAGAGTTGTTCCTAGGCTACTTTTATACTAGGTTTGTTTTAGAGGTCCCTTATTTAGTCCGCTCTTTCTGATGTGGAAATGTTTACAAGTGTCGCATGTACTCACAGAACACATTACTCTCTAGCACAAGCATGATTGTCAATGATGTACATAGCAAGAAAAAGCGAGCGTCTAATCAGATCCATTTGCGAGATAGGCAGTGTTGAAGCTGAATGTTTGTTATCTTCTTCTCATAAAAAAAGCTGAATGTTTGTTATCTGATGTGTGTTTGGGAATTACCAGTTATGATTAAGTGTTGAGCTGGTTTAGTGATTCTATGTCTCCAGCTTTGAAGCTGAAGGTCCTCTCTTCAGACACCAATATCAGAAGAGTTCGACACCTTTCCCCCCATTTTTAAGAGTTCGACATCCTTCCCGTCTCAATGATGCTCTCCGACACCCCGAAGAGTGGTTGTACTAGTTCAAAACCTTCCCATATCTCTTCTCTATCGACGATGAAGAAAACATTGAAAACGCTATCCATCGTCACCAAATGGGAACCAAACTCCTCCAGATACACTAAACCCACGTCTATCTTCCAGAGTAGCAGGAAAGAGGCCAAACAGCTTCTCAAATCCGTGAAGAACTTGCGCAGTGCTACGCATGTTCTGGTTCGTGAAAGCTGTCCATCCGGCAACCTCGTGCTTGCCCAAAACCTAAAGCAAACGGCTATGAAAAAGCTTGAAAGGGAGTTTATGAGACATTGTCTGCAAACCCCGATCACCTTGACCCTGAATTAGTTTCAAGTCGATCCTCAAGCAGATCATGCACATTTTATGAAGAAGACGAGGGCGGATCAGAAGAAGAGTTGGAAATTGTTGGCGAGTCGATCACTGAGGTGGTCAATGGCAGATGACGGTTCAACACCAGCAGTGTCAGTCCACCTAGCTTGCCTCATTCTAGTCCTTCTGTGCAAGCTCGACATGAAAGCTGATATTTATAAAGATGTGTCTCTGTCATATCTCTTCCTTGTCAACAATCTTCACTTCATTGTTGAGAATGCGCAGCAAACGCCGAACCTGAAACTCCTCCTCGGTGAAGATTGGGTCACTGAACACGCGAACAAGGTTAAACTGTACGCTTCAAACTACGAATCAACAACCCGGACAAAGGTGTTATCATCATTACCAGAGAAATCATCAGAAATATCTCCGGAAATGGCAAAGGAAATGCTTTAAAAGGTTCAATGCACGTTTGAAGAAGCAGACATCGTGGGCTGTAGAGGACGGGAAGTTGAGGGAATTACTTGAAGATGTCAATTGCACAGTATACAATCTATATGATTCATTTATTTTCCACTCCGTCCCTTCAGATCGATTCAGAAGTTTTCAAAGTTTTCAGTTCAAGCCAAATGATCATATACAAAGATGTATACATTTGAATGCAAAAGCTATTCTGTGATGGAACCTCTAAAATCCTGTTGCACATGTAGTGATAAAAAAAAAATTATACAGTTTCCGCCTGCTGGGCCAGCTGCTGAATGGATTGCCAGCCGGTAAGAATTTGGTGAATGGCTTTAAGGGAAGCTGAGGCTGCTTCCATAGTCCAATGTGGATAAAATTCGCTCGGATGGAACATGCATTCTTCACTGAACCCTGCAAACGTGCATGATTGAGCTCCATTGAGGAATACGTCGCCATCGGATCATATGAAGCCGGCCTTCGCCACTTCTCTGTCTGCTGCCTATTGGAAGATTACAAACATTTGAGAAAGAACATCTTTAGAGAAATGGGATGTAGTTGTACAAATAGCTTATAGTTCTTCACATTCATATGGAACTATCGAAAAAATGAACGACAGATGGTCATGTACCTTTTCTGTATGGTATTCGAAAGTCTTTTTCTTGTTTCCTGCTTCATAAATGTTGCACCGAGAGTATATCTGATATAAACAACTTAATTAGAACATGTAGTTCACATAAACTCCAAAGATCAAGGAGACAGTTATAACAAGTTTCATTTACCTGCGAAACAGCGTATATAGCCCCGTTTCGAGTGTAATTGTTGTAAAGATGAACTTTCCCAAATCTAAGACGAGGTTGTCTTTGCCTTGTTCCGTCAAAGAAACAATGATGAATTGTCACCCGAATGCATCTGTCACCACCGTGCGAGGGGTCTGCGCAAATTAACATTTGGTTCCAAGGGAAGAAGAAACCGTCAGATGGGTTGTATCAGTAAACACACTTATATCATATTACACGCACAAGTTTAAACACATCTAGAGATAGTTATGTCTGTACTTTGTCTGGTGATATATATGAGTCCATCATTGTAATCACGAAGGCTGCACCGGTCTATCCATATGTGCCTAGAGTTCGGTTTGATCTGAATGCCATCGACATCATGTCCTCTACCACCTTCAAACTCGAGGTTACATACAATTATATGCTCACATTCCTTCAGCCTAAGGCCTTTGCCCGTGAGCTTTATCCTCTGGCCTCGTCCATCAATTGTCTTGTAAGATGACACACTCAAGCAAGACGAAAGATGAATGGTGCCAGAAACCTCAAACACAATCCAGAGCGGTTCTTGTTTTCGGGACCCCTTACGAAGTGAGCCTGGACAATCATCTAAAAATCAAAGTCCAAAATAAGCTGTTTATAAATGTTCAACATTTTTCTTTTTCATAAAAGATCCTAAAAGATTAAGGGCATGTTCGGGAATGCTTCTATGAGGACTAAAAACACTTTTGACTTTTGGCAAAAGAAAGTTTAAAGTGTTTCTAGGTCGTACAAACTCTTTCTCGATAAGTACCTAGCTAGATGCTTCTTTAGGAAGATTCAAGTGTTTCTAACAAAATAACTTCTAGCAAAAGCGCTTATGAGCATAATTGCTTCTACATAAGCTGCCCCAAACGAAACCTAATATGAGAAGCAAAAAACAGATGCATAACTTTGGAGTATGGAATCCAGCCAATCTGGTCCCTCCTCCAGCAATGTGCTACTTGATTACAAATTCTTGGACAAAATGGGCACCTAACTTTCAAAAATGGTGTCAATTTGTTCTATCTTCTTAAAGCAATAACAGCTACGAAGAGCTATTATAGCTCTCAAATTTTCAGTCCTTATTTTGTTCGACAAGAAAATATCCAAAACTAATCTAATATACGGCCATATATTTGAATTTAGGTTCATTACGAGTAGACTGTCTAATTAACTGACCTAACTCACATCTCCAGTCTACCAATTCTCAGTTTCCTTCTAACCCCATATTCAATGTTGCTCAGAAACAAAACCCCACCACAATTCCCAAAGCATCTAATTGATCTAAATGACTAAACAAACGTGGGAAAATTTTAATTACTGATAAGAATCATAAAAGAACCCTCCAATGAGGTCACAGAATAGACCGGTCCGTTGAGGCCACCGATGGCGAACTGACCGAAGCCCTCGGCCCGACCGGCCATTGATCGCAGGCTGAAATCCACGTCGGCGTACGGTAGAGAAGCCATGTCCGTACCTGAAATTGGAATCTCTCTGTACCTTGTTTTTCTTTTACCGTTGTTTAGTTTGGTTTTTTTCATAATGTTTTAGGGAACTTTAACGAAAAGCACCCGGTACTGTTCACTTTAACGAAAAACCACATTTTTACACTAAAAAGTCAATCCTAGTACTATTCACTTTATCCTTTATTTTGTCCTTATCATTAAAACTCAAAGTTTTCAAGCCCTTTTCATTAGTTTTCCTAATGTTTTAACGAAATACTTCAAGTACTATTTATTTATAATGAAAAACCACATATTTTTGTTTTTTTTAGTACACCTTTATTTGGACTTTTTGTTAATTTTTATTTTTATTTTTTTACTTTCATTCACATTGCCTCTAAACTTTGATGCATACACCATTTTGCCCAACAAACATGCAATTTGATTTTGAGCCTCTAAAATTTCAACTTTGTGCCAACATCACCCCCAATTGTATACTTGCCACAAGTTTTTGTTAATTTTTTCATGTACACTAGCCTCTCTGTATGCGCTCATGAGACATTTTTTAATAACACGCACCGTGCTCGACTGACAAAATTTTAAGATAACAAAACAATAACAATTCACATAGATTTGTTCAAATATGACTGAACATTGACACAACTAAACCTAAAAATATAAACCCATCAAATTTGATGGTTGTGTGGAAACTAAGTATGTATTTTAATATCTTAATGGATAGAGTGTTAGGTTTTCATCCATGCGATCTCCGATTTGAAACTCTCACTTCTTCTAAATAATTGTAATAATTCCAAACCTTTTCCTCCCATTAATAATAAATTGAAAGAAAAAAAAAACCTAATGAAACAGGTAAACAACGGTAAAAGAAAAAATGGTTTAATTGGGTAGGATGATATAAATGGAGGGGATGGTCCATTGGTCCATTGGTTCAGTTCAGTGTGTGTGTTTTCTTGGCTTACAGGGTTTAACTAGTACAATTCATAAGCTTCGTCCTTCATTCACTCATACCAACCATAATTACAGGCTGGATCTTTTCGACATCATCAGGTATTATTGTGTGCAACATTAAGTATTTCCTATTTATTAACAAGGTTTTGTTAGGTTGATATATACTTACGTACCTTACTCCTCACATAACATTATTTTACTGTATAAACGTTATGATTATAATTTATTATTCTTTCTATCGTCTTCTAAATATTATATTTGTTATAATAACCATAGATTTGTTTGACACATCCATATAACCAAACGTGGATGATCTTTAGTGGATGTCGAGGATGACAAGAAGAAGGTGATAATGCTTGTGTTCTCCTATGGGAATCTACTAGTCCACCCACTTACAATTTAACGAATCTTTACTCCCGAACATTATAAACGGAACTGTTCGTATGATTTAGCACCTTCTAAAGATCACATATATATGCAAAAAAAAAAAAAAAAGAGTTTAATTTGGAGATCTTTTAGCCATCCATAATGCATAAAACAAATTGACGGTTCATCATGAGGATGTTATTTGTTACCAAAATCGTTGATTGGTATATGTATGGATGACTAAACGATCTCTAAAATGAATGATGTTTTGCAAATATAATTTTTAGATGATGATAAGGAAAATGAACGGTTCCGATTATGATATTTGGAAGATAAAGATTAGTTAATTGTAAGTGAGGGGACAAGTAGATTTAGCCATTGCAACAGGTAAAATTGAACGGAATCATTCGCGTGTTGACACATGATAATCAACTTATCTTCATTATGACATGCCAATGAAATTGGATAGGCATACCACGTGAATCCTATTAAATAGTATTCGTCATTAAAACTTGGCCTCAATTTACAACATAAGAATATAAGGAATTATATCATAACAAGATTAATTACTCAACAGTTTTAGTATAAAATCACCACAAAGCACTGAGTAGAAGTAGAACTACCAAACATTAGAAATCTCTCAATTTCTCTCTCTACCACCATGGAGCTCTTGTTAGCAATGTGTTTATTGCTTATATTCTTTGCTTGCATCTACCTGTGTGAGTTGCTGCTTCAATGGAGGCACCAACAATGCTACTTATTAGCCTATGAGTGCTACAAGGCCACAGACGAGCGGAAGCTGGACACCGAATCCTGCGTCAAGATCATCCGCCGCAACACAAATCTGGGGCTGGAAGAATACAGGTTTCTCCTCAAAACCATCGTTAACTCGGGCCTTGGAGAGGAAACCTACGGTCCAAGAAATGTCATCGCCGGCTGCGAAGACTGTCCTAGTTTGGAAGACTCACTGTGGGAGATGGACGACATAATGTTTGGCACGCTTGACAAGCTATTCCACAAAACAGGAATTTCACCTTCAAAAATTGACATACTAGTGGTCAACGTGTCGTTGTTCTCTCCTGCACCTTCTCTAACGGCTAGGATCATAAACCGTTACAAGATGAAGACGGACATCAAGGCGTTCAACCTCTCGGGGATGGGGTGCAGTGGAAGCCTCGTGGCCATTGATCTTGTGCAGAACTTGTTCAAGACGTACAAGAATGTAAATGCCGTCCTTGTCAGCACAGAATCGCTTGCTCCGAATTGGTACCGCGGCAAAGTTCAGCCCATGATGCTTGCTAACTGCCTGTATCGCTCAGGAGGGTGTTCTATGATCTTTACAAACAAAATGCATCTCAAGCATCGATCACTTTTGAAATTGCAATGCATCGTGCGAACGCATCTTGGTTCACTCGATGAAGGATATGGCTGCTCCATGCAAGTAGAAGATGAAAATGGATTCCGTGGTTTTAATCTCAGCAAAAGCATAGCCAAAGTAGCAGCCAAAGCTCTTACCATGAACCTTCGAATCCTACTGCGAAAAGTGTTACCGCTTACAGAATTACTTCGCTATGTTATAGTGTCAAGCCGTCAAAACAAAGTTGCAAATGCTGGCTTGAATCTCAAGGCAGGACTTGATCATTTTTGCATACCCCCAACAGAAGCTGCAGTTGTAAATGGGGTTGGAAAGAGCTTAGGACTCAACGACTATGATCTCGAGCCTGTGCGAATGGCGCTGCACCGATTTGGGAACACGTCTTCGGGTGGGCTTTGGTATGTTTTGGGGTACATGGAGGCTAAGAGGAGGCTTAAAAAGGGTGAGAAAATTCTTATGGTGAGCTTTGGAGCGGGCTATGAGTGCAACAATTGTGTGTGGGAGATTTTGAGGGACATGGAAAATGCCAATGTGTGGAAAGATTGCATAGAAACTTACCCTCCAGAAACCATAGTGAATCCTTTCATGGAGAAGTATAGCTGGATCAACGATGAATATTTGAGCTTTGTCAGATTTGAGGAGGTTATGAATGCAATTTGTGTTGATGGTCAACGCTTTCAGGAGAGGCATAGTTAGATCAGTGAGTAATTTTGGAAGTTTTTTATTTTAATTTTTCTGAGTAATCTGTTGTTTTTGTAAGGAAAAATTGCATTGATTTGATGTATTTCATAAAATGTGAAGTATATAGGTCAAAGGTCGTGATTTTTTCATGATATTGTTAATTAATTAGAAAAATAAAAAATTGTTTTGCTACAACTTGAACTGCAGAAAGGAGAATGATATATTGTTACGAAGAGAAATGTTAAGGGAACTCTCTCAAAACTGAAATTCTTCTTGAATTTTTTGTTATTTAACAGTTTTACGTTAATTCACGTTCAAACATTATAAGGCAAAGAATTCTTAAAAAATCCTACTTTTGAGAGAGTCCCTTTGACATTTCTCTTATTACGAAAAATTTGTTCTGCCACCCATATGAGACTTCCAGAAAGTAGCATGTAGTCTCTGTTTTGGAGATAGCAACCAAGTCTGCAACTACTTGGAATTTTCTGGAGGGGCAAGAAGTTCCCTTGTGGCCAACTCCTCAAAGGCTTGTACCCTATCACAAGTCATATTATATTTACCCAAATTCCAATTACTTCATAACAGAAATAAACCATATAAAGTGTCACTATTTGGACCACATTTATTAACGTAATCAATAAATATGATCTATACAACATTATTCATACCAAAGTAGGTCTTGCATACTTAGATAGGTTCACTTATATTGCAAGTTGACCAATAATGTAATCAATAAATATGATCCAAGCAACATTATTGATACATAGATAATTAAGAAGCTTCAAAAGAGAAACCCTCTCATTTTTTTAGAGAAGTACGATAATTCATTGCAAGCAAATTCAGTATACAAACAAACTGAGGATAGTGTGCATACTGGGCCTCGATAAAACCTTGCCATGAATTTCACTCCCGTCAAAGGGAAAAGAGTGTACCGCACAACATAAAGGACGTGTCCTCAAATGTCAATCCATAACAAATTCCGAACTATCTTTGAACAAAATATGCAACTCGGGGGGTCTTCAACCCACTAAACTGATTGGTTACAAAGCTTTCGACCATTTCATGCAGTGAGTGCCAATCGTGGGGCAAAGCTTTCGACCATTTCTTCCATAGTCCTTTCCACACGCTGCAACTTAGTCTAAACCACCGGTAGAAAATGTCTTCAACAAATTGGATTAATTGGACCAACATCCACATAGTATCAGTAGAAGACCTATGCCCGCAGAACTACGAACACAGAATCAAGGTAACTCGGTGCCATCGCCGTAGACGAAGCAGTCGCTTCTCCTAATGAAACCTAAGAAGACCTAGGAACCCTAGAGAGCAATTTTATAAGAAGACCAGGACTAAACTAAAATAATTAAAATAATTAAAACCAATCCATTGACCCATCACCACCTGCAACTATTGCAAGTCCGCTGCACCCACGAGCCAAGGTCGCCAGGGGAAGGCAGAGCCACCACTAAACAGTTGAGAAGGACCACATAACATAGAAAATCAAGCCATTGGGGGGGGGATCAGACTCCCCAATAACAAAAAATCACCAGCCCAAACCCGCAGATATAGTCCCAAAAACAGGGAAGAAGCCCTGTACTGGAATAAATATGGAGAAATGGATAGGAGGCGAGGCTGCCACCGGTCCCAAGCCGAAGCAAGGGACCGGCGGCTGGAGTTTGCAGGTTCTGGGGCTGAGTTTGGAGAGGAAGAGGATAGCGGCTAAGGTTTTAAACTGTGTAAAAACCCTCTCATTTTTTGCATAACACTGTAACTATTTGTGAGATTACCTTATGTTGTATTTTAATTACGATGTATAGTTCATAGACCATCGTTGCAACAAATTAATAATTTAGTCACTTAGTGGATAGGGTATTGGATTTCCAAACACGCGTCTCAGTTCGAAACTTTCTCTTATCCTGAATTATTATAATAATTTCGAACCCTCCCTCTCCTCTTAATAATAATAAAATAAAATAAAAAAAGAAATACTAGATTTCATGATAAGATTCAAAATGAGTAAATAGTATCAAATTAAGGTGATTTTTCCACGTTAAACTATGAATAGAAACAAAAACAGGTAATTCTGAGGATGGCTGTAAAACAATGCAGAATGAGCCTCGTGAATCAATCCCGGATTAAAATCACATATGCAAATGTCTTGAAATGGGTATTTATATTTTTAGTTGGCCTAAAATCTAGGGGTGGGTTCAAATAACCGAAAACCGAAAAAAACCGAAAACCAAACCGAACCGAGGCCGAAAAAAACCGAACCGAAACTGCCAAACCGAACCGAACCGAATCTGGCTGGTTCGGTTTCGGTTTTTAAGGTTCGGAAACCGAACCGAACCGAACCGAACAGATATATATATTTAATTTTGTTTTCAATATTATAAATAATTTAGTGATACAATCACAACAAGACATAACCTGTTACCAAGTTGGTTTGCTTGAAACTTTTCAAGTCCCTGTGCATGGGTTCGAATCCTCATGCCTCCAGGGTTTCAGAAAAGTTTTTTAGTTTTTTTGAGCAATCAACAACCTTTTTAACTTAATTAAATATAAATACTTAAAAAACCTGCTGCTGTGAGGAATCTTACCCCTTCCGTCCAGGGGGGATAATTCCTTCAAGCCAACTTGACTGTAGGCTTTGTGTTGTTATAATTGTACCAGTAATATATTTATAGGTTTCTAATATTTAATGCTTTATAAAATTTCTTAAGATTAAAAACCCTAGCCGTCACTCTCCCAATCCCATTTCGGTTTTCCCTTTTCTCAAGCACTCTCTCCCCTCCGCTATTTCCTCTCTGCCTCTCTCTCTCTCTCTTTCTCTCCCCTTCCTCTCTTCCTCCAAATCACTATCTCTCTTTGTGGATTTCGACGGTAGCAAAGAGGAGAGCCAAACCACAGTGGCAGTGGAGCAGTCCAGTGGCACAACATGGGACTGATGGGCAGTTGACGGCGGACGAGGGCAGTCATTAATCGTTGCAGATCCATGATCCATGGTTCTTTGTTTTTGTGTTGTGTTGTTGGTTAATTTTCGTTTGCAGATTTTTTTTTTCAATTTTGTTGGTTCTGAACTTCTGATGAATTTGATCTGTAGCTTCTAAATTTCATGGTTTTGCAATTTGTTTTGGGTATGCTGGATTTGGTTAGGTAACTTCATTTATGAACACTATTAGACTATTAGTTGAGGATTGATTAATTTGTGAGAGTACATACGGTTTGATTAATTTGTTTTGGGTATGCTGCTGCTGAAGCCTGGATTTGTTGTGGCTGTTTTGCATTTTTTGGAGGAAAAAAAAAAAAACCGAAAAAAAACCGAAACCGAACCGAAAAAACAGAACCGAAAAAAACTGAAAAAAATTTGAGCCGAACCGAACCGAAATTTCGGTTTGGTTTCGGTTTTGGCAAAAAACCGAACCGATAAGAACCGAACCCAGCCCTACTAAAATCTCTTCAATAATGAAAAAATGTAAATATATATATTTTTTTAAATTTTTTTGAAGGTGAGTCCCGCTGTCAAAGTGAGAAAAGCGAATATGATAACAAATTTACATTTTTTATTATAATAAAACTCACATTTACAATCTTAAAATATAAAATAAGATGTAAATATGAATTTTACGTCTCAACTTTACATTTGTGTCGTTGAATATACTTCTTAGTTACCCATAAATAGAAACATGAAAAGGAAATTCATCATGTTGCTTTTCTCCCACCGACAATTTCATTGGCTTCTTCTTTCTCTTTTTCATTAATGACTTCAAGTCAATGTTTCAACGTGATCAGAACACGTATAGTACATCACGTGTTTTTATATAAATGATGAGAAATTTTATTTTTTAAGTTATTAATTTTCTAACACACATATTCCACTATTTGTAGAACACACGTGGTGTACCATTCCGTGTTCTAATTACACTGAAAAATCTCTTAACGACTTTTTTTGAGCATGTGCATTCATCATAATTCATTAGAACACAGTATCCGCTGATAAATAACACGATTTAAAGCGCCCTCTACCAACTTCTATTTCATGAGACCAACTGAAAGTAGGTTACCCATTAACCCAAATTGAAAAAAATTAAGGTTTTCCAATCTAAAATTCATCAAGCATGGAGAAAAACCATGGAAAAATATAAGCTAGGGCACGGGATATTAATAAATCTATCCACAGAACCAGCCAAGTGTAAATGAACTGCAGTTATAAAACAGCATTCAAGCTGCTCATAATTTTTACGAGCGGCCACCATATCAAAACTAAGGCTTATGTTTAAGATGAATGAAACGTTCCACACCGAAATCTGAACAAACTAAAATACAATATATAATGAGTGGTTTTACTACTATTGCATCGGGACCGATCATGTAAAAGCCCATAATATTGACCCTTAGCATAAAACCCTGCACCTGCTGAATTGTGCATATTAATCTCTGTGAAATCTTAAAAGACAATGGCATCTACCAAATCTATTGTCTGTTCTTTTATGACACGATATGACAGAAGACTTGAAACTGACATTTTTTTATAAATTTTGGGATGATACTCAAGGGTCTAGTATGAACAACTCTTAACTTTTTTTTTCCTTCGGGACAAAATGGTACCCAGAAATTTTTTCTATCACTGGAGGCACATGAGTAGATCTCACATTATCTGCAGTTAATTTCTAGGTCCATTTATCTTTCACCATTGTACCGTATAATCCTTTACCAGTCTTCTTTGCAAAATATCAGAGTTAAAGGACTGTATGACAACTTCTGGGTACTTGGCCCCCCACCGAATAAAAAGAACTTTGTGAAAGCCAAGTTACAAATAGGGTACGTAGTAATTAAAATCCTTTTACTTCTGAGTACCTTCCATATTTTATGTGTATATACCCCTTGAGCACTGAACATATATTGTGAAAATTTCCAACAGATATATCAATGGGTTCAAAAACACAGATTGCTTTGCTTTTGAACAATTAAGCGGGTGCCTATTAACAACCGACGAGAAGATGTCTGCATGTAGTACTTTGATTCCACTGCAAATTTGTTGTTTTGATCAAGGAGTTTTGTATTGATCAACGGAATATAAATTTGTTATGATCATTTTGCTTGTACTTATTTGCAGGTTAAAAGTCATGTTGGATTTCTCTGGTGATAGTGACAGACTAATTGGACCTTTTTATTTAACCAGATTAGTGTGGCTGGAT